TTTTCACTGTTCTCTCCGCCAGTCGTTCTACTGTCGTCTCCGCCAGCGCACCCACTCCGCCGCCGTCGCACATCGCCCCGCACAGCCGGAAAATCCCCATCAACAAATCCACAGCGGGAAAGACGCGTCGGCACGCGCAGCTGCAGGGCGGGAAGCAATCCGCACTCATCCCAGGCACCCTCAACACCGCACCACCCACCGGCCGCAGGCCGCCAACATCACACCAAAAACACGTCAATAAAATAAATCGCACGCTCCTTCCTTCCTCGCAAAAGCCACCGCAGCCAGAATATTGTTCGTGCAGGCATTCTCAGCGCTCACGTAGCTCCACAGCGTGTGCGGCATGGCGTGTCTATCTGTGCATGTGTGTGCTTGTCAGCGCCTATACTTACGGAGCTGCTGTGCGGCACAAGAGAGTCCAAAGAAAGCAACGACCGAAAGAGGCGGGTAGCACACACGCAAATTACTCATATCGTCACGCACACACACGCAGCCCGCGGAATGGGTGCTCTCAACCACAAAACAAGTAAAACAATAAAACAAAAAGCCGAAGCGTGTGACGACCAGCGCACACACTCTCATTGCTCCCGTAAAGCAAAACACACACATAGGGAGAGAGAGAGAGAGAGGTCGCCCACTCAATGCAATAAAAACAAAACAGAAACAGTTACGGTGCTCCGCCCATGCAGCCAGGCAGGACGGCAGCGGTGCGTTTCGTGCAAAAGAGAGCACCAACGGGCCTGCATGGGTGTGCATGCATATATACAATGGGCACATTATGTGTGTGCTTCGTGGGGTGAGGTGAGGGCGAGAGTCCATGCAAGGGGACACACACAGAGAGTGAGTGAAAGACGAGTGTGTGTGCGGGCGGTGCACGGCTCTCTCTCCCTCACTCTCACGCGGCCACCACCGCAGCAGCAGCCGCACACACAACAACAAGAAGCAAAAGAGGGGAGGTGGTGTGGGAGACCGCGTTGCTGCCGTCACTGTCGCCAGGTGTCACCGTACCATTTGTTTGAGCGGCGATTGCTTTTGCTGCTTGTGGTGCTGCATCGCTGGCTGCAGATGGACCGTGGGTATCACCAGCTTCGGTTCCGTCGTTCTGCGGTCCTTCGGGGTTAGGCCGTTGAGGGTCGTCATCATCCGCATCCGCCTCACTCT